AAAACAGAGATGCTTTAATTAGTTACTTTCAGAAAAATATAATGGATGCAAACTCAAAGGAGAGGAGAAAAGAAAGAATCATACATCAGTCAGGGCCTTGGATTGACCACCACAAGCTTCAGAGTTCCCAAAACTGTTAGCATTCGGTGCTGCAGCAGGAGTGACAGTTTCTGGGGCAGGGGAAGCAACAGTCTCATGTTTGACAACACGAGGACCAAAAATGGCATCAACAGCCCTGTGACCAATGGAAGTACCAGCGCCCCATCCAATGCCTGCTCGTTCATAAAAGAGAACATAATGCAGAGCATCTCAGAGTAAACTCGATCCACAAATTGACTCATCACAACAGAAAGATAACTAACACTTACCATCAGCAATTGCCCCAAGAAAAGATCCACTATTCCCTTGCACTGGGGCTGGTGGAGGGGCAGCCTTAACTGCAATCCAGAAATTACAAGCCATTACTTATTCAAACACAAATTTGGAAAACCAAATAGTAAATTGGGAACTAAGAAATCAACGTAGCAATACCTGTCTGGGGAGGATTCCGCAGTGAGCTGCTGCTGCTGCTGCTCCTCACAGAGCGCAAACCTGACCTTGACCTTCCTGCAAATTACACACAAAATTGCAGTAACATTCCGAAATAATGCTTCAAAATCTTAACTTGGAAAATAATCATTTGCTAAATTTTTAAAAAGTTTTGGCAATAAAATATCAAGAATTGGATATTATAACTTTCAATTCATTTAGAGAATTATGTACAAAGAAAAAGATGCATTTTATTTATTATTTCATCCTAAATGTAGGTGTACAGAACTCTAGATCGGAACTAACAAACAAAATCCTGCAGTTTTAATCAGGCATTCTCACAAATAAGATTCTCTTAAATGAAAATAAGAAGCAGACAACAGATCTGCTGATTCCCAACCGGAAACAGGGAGAAAACAACGATTGCTAAAAGTATAAAGCAAAATCAGAGATGAACAGTGCCATCGGAGACGTATTCAGGCGGAGAACTCACCTCCGGAGCTTCGGCGAGCCATATTCGGGCAGTGTTAGCTTGAACAACACAGAGAGTGAGAGCAGAAACGGAGGCGTAGAGTAGAACGATATAACATTGGAGGAGAATGGAGTTTATGGGAAAGGAGGATATTTATAGCCATGGGATTTCTTGGGGGACAAGCTGGTTTGCTTCGGTATTTTTTTAATTGTAGCTTTTTCCTAAAATATTGCACAATGGCTATTGGGGTACGGGGCATGATGATAA